GGCGCGCCCCCCTGCGCCCCCTCGGATCCCATAAAGGTCGGCGTGCCTCGCTTTCCTTCCCAGAGAGGGCACCTGCAGGACCCAAAGGTACTCGTTGACTCTACCTGGCCAGCCGGGGGACTACCGAAGCGAAGGTAAGCACAGATCCCCCCTTCCTTCATCAGGACGTGTTGAAGGGCGGCTTTGCACGTGGGGCTGGCGAAGAGGAGGGAGGGGAGGTTTCCTGCCAAACTGACCCTGGGTCCCCCCCCCAGGGAAATGCCCCACCTCCCCCCCGGCCCCCCTGCTCTGAAAGAGGCTTTGTCCGCCCCTTCTTGGAGAGCATGGAAGGCCCCACTGGGCAGGAAGGGGGGCACTCCTGGACCTGGCCCCGCCAGCCCCCAGAGAAGCCCCTCCGTCCCTCCCCGGGGCGGGGGCCGAGGACGCCCGGGAGAGAATCGGGGTTCCTCCGGGGATAGAGGGTGCTCTCCCTGCTTTGGGTGCTGCCCCCATGAAGGCAGGGAAACAGCATGACTTTTACACCCCCTTTGCGCTTGCCTGGGATGAAGTGCCCAGCGCCTTTCGCTTCGTGGAGACGGATTATGACACCTACCTGATCGTCCACTCCCAGCGGGAGGCGGCCAGCTACATGGTGCTTGCGGGTAGGTGACCTGTGTGTGTGCGGGGGGGGGCAGCCAGCTGGGAGGGGCTCTGGAACCAGTCACCGTCCCTGCCCATCTTGTCCTTGCCCTTCCTAACATTGCTGGCGGGGTGTGTGTGGGAGAAAAACAAAATCACTCTTTGCTTCTTGCCCCAAATGGTGCCATCCCTTTGGCAGTGTCAACCACCCGCTGTGGGGTCCAGGCTGGGACCTCCCGTCGGGCCCTTCCATCCCCATCCCGCCCCTGTGCTCCCGAGGGAAGCCCTTCTCTCCTCTGCCTCTTGCTCTGCCCCCCTTCAATTCTTTCCATCCATCCCCAGCTGTTCAACCAGGGAGTTGGGGGGCAAAGCTCTGAGCTATGGCAGCCCCCCTCCCCAGGGTCTCCTGCCCTCCCTCCCACAAATCTCCTTGCTTGCCTGCAGGCAGGAAGCCCGACTTGACCGATGATTTGAAGCAAAGTTTCCAGACACTGGCCCACTCTCTGGGGTTTCCAGGTGACGTCGAACCTGTTGACCTAAAAGGTAATTCTCTGGTTCTCTGGAATTGCCTCTTCTGAGCCCACGGAAGCTCTCGGTGGCAAACTTGGGCAGAGCTTCGTTTCGTTTTCATGCTCGTGCACGGGTACTAACTTGCAAGCTGGTCAAATTTCCTGCAGCAACACTTTTCTGAATAAAATGCACGATGGAAATTTCCAGAGAGAAATGCATACATCTGGGGAGAAATTCCAATAATAATATGGATACTAATGAAAAAA